AATTGATGAATTGACTGATCTTCTTGGGTATATGAGTCAAAGTTCATATGCAAAATTTTATGTGTAGAGAACATGTTGATTCAAAACAACCAAACTGTAGTTGCTTTTTTTTTTTTTTTTTTGTAAAACCCTTATTGAGGACAGCATCTACAGACTTTTCCATAGACTCTGTCACCTTTGACTCATCTTCATCCCTTCCGTGTTCACTTTCCATACATACTCTCTCAGGGTTTATTGAGGATTTGACTGCTTCTCACTGCCTCCACGATTCCAGTCTATAATCCTTTCCAATGGACTCATCAGCAGATTATTGTGTGAGCAATTCTTCAAATAAAGAAAATATAAGTAGACATGATGGCTCTGGCTCTGGGAATCCAGTGAAAGAGAGGGAGGAGGGAATATATGAGCAAGGGAGGTCAAGATCATGATGGAGCCATCTACATAGACAGCTGAATCAAACTTGTGGAAACTCACAAACTCTAGACCTACAACTGTGGGGACTCCAGGGGACTGAACTATGCCCTCCATATGTGGGAGACGGTTGTGAAGCTGGGACTATCAGAGGGGCCTCTGGCGGTAGGACCATGATGCAAACCTTGTACATGAGCTAGCTTGTTGGAGCCCATTCCCTATCGTGGGATGCAATGCTCAGCCTTAATGCATGGAAGATGGGACTTTCCATGCCTCAACCTATCGTGTCAGACTATGTTGTCTCTTCATGGGAGTCCTTACTTGTTAGGAGGAGTGAACTGGTGGGGGGGGTAGGGGATGGGACGAGGTGTGGGAGGAAAATTGTGGTTACAATGAAAAAACAAGCCTTCATTTATACACAAGTATCTTACTATTTTAGGCATTGCCTTAGTTAGGGATAAATAGTGCTGTGGTAAACACCATACCCCCCACAAAAAACACCCCCCAAACAAACAAAAACAAAATAAACAAAAATAAAACAAACAAACAAAACTTGGTGAAGAAAGGATTTGTTTGCTGTGTGCTTCAACATCACTGTTCATCATTGAAGGAAGTTAGGGCAGAAACTCAAAAAGGGCACAAACCTGGAGGCAGGAGCTGATGCAGTGGCCATGGAGGAGTGCTCCTTACTCACTTGTTCCTTGTGACTTGCTCAGCCAATGCTTTCTTAAAGAACCCAAGTATACCTGTCCTGGGGTGGCCCCACCCACAGTGAACTGGGCCCTCCCATATTAACCAATAATTAAGAAAATGTGCTACAGGTTTGCCTGCAGTCTGTTTGTACAGAGGCGTTTTCTCAACTGAGATTCCCACCTCTCAGATAACTATAGCTTGTGCCAAATTGATATAAAATTAGCCAACACAGACATGTTGGTTTTGATATCTGTATCAAATATATGCCTTTATTTCTTTCCTTAGCAATAGAGGTTGATAAATCTTTAAAAACTAGTTGTTAGACATTAAACTTTTTGATTGGTTGGGCATTTAGGGTGTTGCAACATTTTAATTTTATAGATACCTTATAGGAGAAACAATTTGCCAAACATCGGGTGCAAGTAAAATCAGGCAAGATGTGAAGAGACACAAACACAAAACATTCAAAGCTATGAGCAACATGGAAGAGATGAGTAACAGTTAAAAGCTAATTGCTATGTGATGTATCTATTACCTTGTGAAAGCTAATGGTTTGGAAATATTTTGAGGAGAGTATGGTCTTGAAGAACTTTATGAATCTCTGGCCCAATCACCTAAAGCCTGTGTCTTAGCTCTAAGGTTTCGGGCCAAGAAAGTGAATTCCCAATATATAAATAACAGGCAGGATTCTGGCAAGGTCCTGTGACTAAGTCATGAACAGAAATAATGGTTATAATAAAGATAAATAAATAAGTGGGTCAGAATGTCAAATAGGCATACTGATATTGGGGAGTAGATGTTGAGTCTCGGTGCATTAGAGCCATACTCATTTAAAAGATGGATTTTTATTAGTCTGTGTGTGTGTGTGTGTGTGTGTGTGTGTGTGTGTGTGTGTGTGTGTGTGTGTGTGTGCTTATGTGCGTGCAAGTGTCTGTGGGGCAAAGGTATTGGGTCTTCTAGGTCTGGAGTTGTATGTGGTTGTTAGCTGCAGAGTCACCTCTTTAGCTCCTAGATTTGTGCTCTTTACATCCTACTTACTGCAGGGCAAGAGACGATAAGGTATTGAGTGAACCTGCAGGTTAGGAAAATAGCTCCACAGGGCTCCAGAAGTTAGTCACCTGGAAGGTTCTGACAGAGCTTGGAAAAGGAATAATAATACCACGATGAAAGTTACAGGAATTGTTATGACATTAAAAATTAGTACAGTACAGCTATTAGGATCATTTTGCTCCACCAGTTCAGTTGCTGGTTGGTTGGCATTAGTCTGTGACCTTTGGTCAAGTACCATGCAGTAAGGAACATGTGGTGGAAACAACAGAAGGGACTGGAAGGGTTCAGAGTCTAGGTGGTCCCTTTGAGGCATAGCCCTAGTCAGCTTCCTATGACTAGGCCCATCCTGTAAAGGATCCACCCTCTCTCAGCAGCATCATATGTTAGAGACCAACCCTTCAGTGTGTGAGACATTCAAGATCCCAATAAACATGCATCCTTTAAAGTTGTAGTTTAATATAATGTTATCATGTTTTAAAATTAAAGATCATCTACTGCTTTCCAAACCATCACAAAATGACTAATGTGGCAGAAAGCAGTTTCAATTAATTTTCATGCATGAAGATCAGATAAGCACTAAGATTTATAGTTGTGTCTGAGGCCTCCATTAGGCAAGTCTTCAGGTGCTTAGAGAGACTGGATCTGGCAAGGCCTGGTTCTGATTTAATTTCTTCTACTGACTGTGTCTTTTTCTTTCCTTCTTTGTGTTACATCAAGAGTAGTAGTGTATACAAACTGCTTCAGTTTTCCTAATATACAGAACTATGTTTCTGGAGATGTGACCAAACACAGATTGAATCTTTGTGTTTTCTCTCTCTTCATATTGGTGAATAATGATAATCATTTCTGTTTTTCTCTAGGGAATGGTCTAAATATATGTTTGGCTTTTTAAATTACAAAATATACTTAAAAACAAAATTGGACTTGATGGTCCAGTCTTATAATCTTAGCACGTGGGAACCAGGGCCAGGAGAATTGTATAGTGAGACCTTTTTTATCATCATCATTGTCAACATGACAGGCTATTCATTCACCACCGTGGAAACTCACATACAGGTGTCTATGAGGGTAACTTGGGAAAGATTTAACTGAGTTCCATGGGAAGATGTACCCTGAATGTGGGCAGGCACCATCCTAATAGTCTGAGTCAGACTTGATAAAAAAAAAAAATCAGGAACTGGAGCTGAGCACAGTATTCTATATGTCTGCTTCCTGACTGCAGCTGCAATGTGATCACTGCCTCCTGCTCCCAGAATGATAATTTCCTGGACTATGATGGATTAAATTTCCAAATGATCAGAATAAACCTTTCTTTCCTTAAGTTGCTTTTGTTATGTATTTGTCACAACAACAGGGTGGGGGAATAGGGGAGGTAGTTGGGAAAGCTCAAGCAAAGCCATATGGAGTAGCTCCTTTCTAGTCCAAAAACTAAGTGTATGAACTTTTAATAGTTTCTGGGTTTTCTGCTTGTGTATAGTGCACTTTTGCATCTAAACCAGCAGTTCTTAACCTGTGGGTTATGACCTCTTTGGGGGTCCAACAAGCCTTTCACAGGGGTCCCCTAAGGCAATTGGAAAACACAGATATTTATATTATACTTTATAACAGTAACAGGGTTATACTTATGAAGTAGCAATGAAAATAATTTTATGGTTGGGGGTACCACAATATGAAGAACTTTGTTTCAAGGTCACAACAATAGGAAGGTTGAGAAATACCCCCCCCCCCCGCGCCCACTTTCTCACTGGGGACTTCAACTTAAGCACATAATATGTTGTCAAGCTAATGAAGGCTTCATTCTGTGCTTTGTGCTTTATTAAATTTTATTCCTTAGTGGAACACATTTTGCTTTGCTCTTTCCTCATTTTGCCCATGAGGAGGTTTCAATAAATTCATTTTTGTGTTTCTTCTGTTTATCTTCACCAGACAGACTAGAGAGGCTTCTCAGCAATGTGAGAAAATCCACTGTGGGTGTTTGCTCCAGGGAGAGCTGGCTTTGCAGCCCCAGGACTGGCTTCCTTTGAGATTAGCCTGAGGCACAGGGAGGCATTTTATACCAATTTTATTCCAAGAGTGAAACTTCTCTGGGAATTCCTTAGGTTCTGCAGTGTTCCTCCTGTGTGTCTGCTTGGCTGCCGTTGGGGTTCCTCCAGAGAAGCTATCGTTTCAGCTGTTACTGATCCCTGCCTGCTAGAATTTCCTTTAAGAAAAGACAAGGTGTGCCGCTGGTGCCTCTGTTCTTTCCTCTTTCACTCATTTCTGTAGGATTAGCAGATTGGAAGTGAGGTGTAAGGGTCACTAGTCGGTACTGTCAATTTCCTGTGTCTAGTTTCTTTGGTATTTCTCCTTCTACTCCTTAAAATTCTTTCTGAAAAGAATTTGTTTATATTCCCTCTATTTTGAATCAGAAGTTGAAATTTTTATCTTCTAATTTTATATGTAATATTAATCAATATCAGTATGAAATCACTAATGCATACTTGTATATTTATAAATACAATCCATATGAAGTCACTCATCTAGTAATTTGTATATAATTGTATTTTGTTTGACAGGTGACTTGAATATTTTTTAATTTACACATCAACTAGAGATAAAGTAATAGTAACTTTTCATGGTCCTCCATTATTTCATTACAGTATTTATTTGTACGTTTGCTTATTTGTGTTTTGAGACAAGGTTTCTTGTAGCCTAAGCTGGCCTTGAACTTACTGTGTATTTGAGCCTAACCCCTGATCATCCTGTTTCCATATCCCAGATGCTGACAGGTGTGCATCATCAATATTCCATACTCAGCTAACATTTTAAAATGAATGGTGACTTAGCATTTTTAAAATGTGTTTCAGGAAGGAGAGAATATTTTCTACTTGGCAGTTGATGATATTGAAACTGATACCGAGCTTCTGATTGGCTACCTGGACAGTGATGTGGAGACAGGGGAGGAGGAGGAGCAACAAGCTCTGACCATGACCAAAGAAGGCAAAGTTGACCACTCTAAGGGACAATCAGCAGCTGCAAGCAAAGGTACTGCATCTTCATTTGGTGATCTGAAGGAAGAGACATTGAAGAGGAAGGTAGTTTGCATTACTTGAATTATACTTGCGTGTTTTATATGGTGTTATTGAAATAGTTTTTGTCAAAACTATGCTCAGTAGCAGGATAAGAATGTTCGGGCTAAGTAACGATTGTCTTGTAGGATGGCCAAGGTAGCAGGGTGGCCAACTCTGGTTTTTGTTGTCACTGTGGTAACACAGAGAAGGACTGTCTACTCCTGCATTGGCTCTGCCAATCATCAGTTTAATACCCTGGGCCCGTGAGGAGATCGCTCAGGCTCCGAGGGATTAATCTCATGTACACCTGAAGAGGCCAGATGTGCAAGGTGGCCCTGCTGTGTCCTGGACAAATGGTCCCCGTGCTCTGTCTTATGAGATCTTCTGGTGGCAGTCTGTTTGTATATCAGTCACCGGAGCAGGCAGGGTGGCTAATTTGTTCTTGTTTGGGGACCAGTAGCTTCAGGTGACCACAGGTGAAACCTGCAGTCCAGGGACAGACGTCTGTTGGTTGTTGACTGCTGTGAAATAGTCAAGTATTGCTGGGCCTTCTGTTTTTCCTGAAGAGAATTCGAGGGAAATGGTAACAGCGCTGTTGTAGCACACTGTGTCTTCATCCACTTGGACTGCAGTGCATTCTTTTCAGCAACCCCAAATGTCTTGTTCAGTGTCTGTAGTGTGGGGCATTCAAGGTGAGGTGAGGCACCAGCACATTTGCTGGCTGACTTCTGCCTTGTTTACAAAAGTGAAAGTTACAAAAAAAAAAAAAAAAAAAAAAAAAAAAAAAAAAAAAAACAGCAAAAGAGACAAAGATGCCACTCACATGTTTACCAGTGTAGAGTTTGATAGATTGCAGCACCTTAAGTACCTAAATGACTGGGAATTAGCAGTTGGAAAGAGGGCAACATGGGAAGTTGAACATAAGGTGTGGCGTTGCTCTTCACACATACGGCTTTGGCATGCACCAGCTGTGTCTTCAGGGTGCCATTATTATTTCATTTTTTCACATTTAATACATTTTAATTCTCACTTTACTGGATAATCAGTCAAAAATATATAACACTAACGGCACCGTGAAGAACTTGGGTGGAGTTCTTCCTGTCACATGAATGCGGTGCCTTGACCACTATACCAGCCTCAGTCAGCACTGAAGATGACCCATTTTCCAGGAAAAGTTTTGCTTTGTGCTCAGCATTTGTTATCATTTCTGATCTGAAACATTAAATGTAAAAGGGAAACTGGAGATTGAATTTGATTATTTGATTTTTTTGGGGGGGGAGGTGTTTCAAGACAAGGTTTCTCTGTGTAGCTTTGGAGCCTATCCTGGCACTCGCTTTGAAGACCAGGCTGGCCTCGAACTCACAGAGATCCACCTGCCTCTGCCTCCCGAGTGCTGGGATTAAAGGCATTCACCACCGATGCCCGGCTCGAATTTGATTTTATATTGCTTCTGTGATTTTTAAGATAGTTTTCCTGATAACATTTTGTTTTCTGTTCAATGTGGGAAATGCTTACATTTGTTAGAGAAAATAAAGTTTGTAATTCACACAACTACAACTGTAGTTTGAATTTGAAATGAGGGCAAAAGCTAGTTCCTGACTTGTGAATTCCGTGTTGACATGTTGCGCAGGTCGCCTGGGCTGTGAAGAGGACTATGCCTGTCCACAGTGTGAATCGAGCTTTTCCAGTGAGGAGATCCTTAATGAGCACTGTCAGACCTTGCACCAGAAACCCACGGGGGAGAAAGAGTTCACGTGCGAGAGCTGTGGGAAGAAGTTCCCCGTGAGGCAGGCCTTGCAGAGACAGTGCGTATGCAGTGTTTCCGGGTGTTTCAGTTTATGACACTTGGATTGTTCACTTTGCTTGACACGGCTCTGAATATGTGTGTCTCTGTGTGTGAGCACATACGGATGCCTGTGTGGGAAAGTGAGGGAAGCCTACTTTGGCTTGAGTTCATCTTTTCTGAGTGTATTTTACTGAGTTTTGATTACTCTGATCATGAGGTTTACAGGTAAATACCATTTATGCTAGCTCTTCTCTGTTTGATACTCACCATTAAATATTACACTTAATTGTTTCCTATTCTGAAATTTACAAATGCAGTTTAGCCATTACATTGATGTTATTTACTGAGTATCACTTATTTGCTCTCTTACTTGTTTGAAAGACGCTTAAGTGATAAATACTTTAATGTAGGAATAATGAATGGATAGGAAACACTTTGATAGCGACTAGTAAGACTAGTTTGAAGATGAATAGAGCAGGGTGGGACAGGGTATTACATGAATTTACCTTTTACCTTATCTTAAACACTTGTGTTCTCAACATATAAAATTAGCCTCCATTTTAACATCTTGTAAGATCAGAGTTATCAAAAGTGAGAGAATGTACAGAGACTATGAACTTCTCTCCTTAGCAGAATGTCACCTTACAGGAGTAAAACATCTTCCAGGCTTCTTGTTCATTTTTTGATTTTGTTCAATTCTAAAGTATCTGTCTGTCTGTCTGTCTGTCTGTCTGTCTGTCTATCCAGCCATCAGTTATCTGCATATAAATATGGCATTGCTATATATTATATGTATCATGTTTTACTTATGAAATCTGAAAATAACTTTGTTTGCATGTAACAAATCATTAGAAAAGATACCACCTTTAGGATGGATTAAGCATTTAGAGATTTTATTAACTCCTTTTTAAAAAGCCAAGCAATAGTTACAAACTTTGTAATAAGTTAACTGTATAGCCTGTATTATATTCAGCTTTTATATGTATTTTATTGCACCATATTTTATTTTGAGTCACATCTTAGAGCTAAATAAGGTACCACTAAAAATATAGAAGATCAAGGGCAGGGTGTCAGGAGGAGGGTGGGAATATAACTCAGCACTCTGGCCTTCTTCCCTCCCTTCTTAGTGTTCACTGAGCATCCTGGAGGAGTCTCCAGTGTTCAGTGTTCTGTTTGCAATTCCTTCAGGTCAGCACTGTCTAGTTATAAAGTGACTTTTACAAATTTGCAGATCATCTTTGCATACATAATTTCATACTTGGAGTTAGCATTATACTAAGTAAACTGAAGAATTTATGTCCTAGGAGGCATGGGTTATAGAAATCTTCGATGATGTATCAAGTCTGTAGGTATGTCTTCATCATTTCTTTTGCTCCCCTTGTTACTTGTCTTATAGTTTTGAGCAACACCAGAAGGCTGGCCGAGGGGATGCCAGGTTTGTGTGTAAAGTCGACAGCTGTGGGAAGAGGCTGAAAAGCAAGGATGCCCTGAAAAGACACCAGGAAAATGTCCACACTGGTGAGGAGGCATCAGACCGTCCTTTCTAACTGGGCTCCCTCTCCCCAGGGCATGGGATCTCCTTTAATTCTCTTTTGTGAGGAGGGAGCTGGCTTCCATTGTGCTTCCCATCGCTGCTTGTATGTTTTCACTGAACACTGTTTTTGAAGTTGATTTCAGCAGCATTTATTATTTTCCCCATGTCTGTATTAACCATTACTGTAAACTAAGTTCACACTTAGCTGTTTTTGTCACTCAGGTATATTGTTTGACCACTTCACTCTTAGTCTATAGATTTTAATTTTCACACATTGTTGAAATTGATAATTTGTAGGTACTTTGAAATGGTGAAGCAATGTAATATTTCACAGAAACATTCAGTGCCTTTGCTGTTTGTATTTCTTCTAAACTAGAGAAAATTCCTAACTATATTTTGTCATGGAGTTGAAAATATTTGAATTTTCAGCAAACACTTGCTTAACTCCTTGTAATCACTAGCCAAACAGTAAAACAAATATAGCATTTGATTGTCACTTAGGATTTTATCCTTGGTACTTTCTTGTCCATAAGTGAATATAATTTGGTTTGTGATATCTGTTTCACTGTGGGTTTTTTCCCTTCTTTGCTGTCTGTTTGGTAAAGGAGTTCAAGACCCAAGGAAATCATCATGTCATTGTATTCATGTATTAGCTTTTACCCCTCACTTCTGGCAAGTAAGTAGAAATGAACCATGGGATAGGGAGGAAACTCTTTTCTTCTTTAGTCTCACAATTAGGTGAAAAGAGTGACTGATACCCAGCATCAGGACATCTGTTGCCTGAAAGTAATAGACTTTAACAATAAGGTGACAAGAAGTTAGCATGAGTGTGCCCTCCGGCCTCGCTTCATCACTGACTGGGCCTGCTCATTGTAAGCCATGAACAAAGTTCTGATGGCTCAGGTGAAGCTTTGTGAACCAGCCTTCAGGGATGCCAATCATCAAGACTTCTCAGTATTGCTTTGTGGCTTTCTTTTTGAAGCACATATGTCTGGTATATGGAAAATGACTTCCTCCATTGAATTTGAACTATGCTGGTGCTTTTCATGTGATGGCAGAAGCAGGCATAGCTTTTTGGTAGATTTGCCTTCATTTTCCCCCTAATGCTGTTTTGGCTAAGATGCTGTTCTTAATTTTCTCCATCTTTGTCTGCAATGTATTTTAACCAAACTTTTATGTCAGTATAAAGTCAACTTTGCTGAACCAAGTAAAAAGCCAGATGGATGCTACAACTCTGGAAACTTTTCCATCCTCATAACTAGGCATATGGTCTTCCTGCTGTGCTTATAGAGTAATTTTTTAGTCTTTTTGTAATTGTCCTTGGGTTGCTTACTATTGCAGCTTGGGGCATTTGTGGTAATTTTGCAGGAAACAATTTATGCATGAAAATTTTGTCTCATCATCATTATCCTATGTTGCAGGTCATGATAAGATGTGAAAGCTGCTGTATTTTAGCTCAGGTCTCCATGTACACCTCCTATTTGGTTGGGTACATGATTTCATTTTCTCATCTACAGGCTCTCTTCTGCTTCTCTCCTTTTCTCTAAAGTAGTCATGATGGGGAGAGTACTTCCTATTAAAACAAGGAAAGTAACATTCAGGTATGACTGAGGACTCTTGTATAAAAAACAGGGAACTCGAGGAACTAGGAAACCTTGTTACTTCTATACTGACTGATGGTGAAGCATGCCCTTGTTAGGTGATGCACTATAGAAGGTAAAGGAAGAGAGGCTGGATATTTAAAGATGGACCCAATTTCCTTTTTGTAGAAACAATAGCATAGGGTGTGTAGATTTGTAGGTAAGTGTGGTTATATGGCTTCCATGACCATCGCTTGATTCTGTGACTGTCACTGTGATTTGTTATTGTTTGTTTTCCTGGTGCTGATGGTTTAACCCGGGGACACACCACACTCGCTGAACTATAGCATCTTATCCCCATCTCTTGAAAGTTACAAACCATGTATTCCTGAATATAGGAAGCCAAAAGTCTACGGACTCTGGATGCTAACACAAAGGGGTGTTTATGAGAAGCATTTTTTTTCTGTATCCTTATATGTTTCTGTATTTCTTTACGTGGATCCAATATTCCAGCTGAAAGATAAAAAGAGATGTAGGAAGAGAGAGCAGAGAGAGTAGTGAATGGAGATTGGTAGCAAAGCAGAGGCAATAGTTGAGAGTGAAGTGAAATGGAATAGTGGGAGGGGAGATGTCAGCCTCTTCCTCTCTTTTTCATTCCTTTTACCTGCTTAATGGAAAGACCAGGAACCTAGTCTCAAGAAGAGGTAGGCCATGCCAGGAAGGTGGACAATCCCAGACAATGGGAGTTGGAAAGATGGAATGATTTTTTTGTTTTTTTGGTTTTTTGGGGGATCTTTCTGCAATATATGTACAGACTGATGAACAAGTACATGCAGGCTAATGTTCATCTTGCTGTGGGAAAAGTTTGTATTTTGAATCCCTGTTGTCATCATCAAACAAATTTACTTGGCTGTGTAGTCTGTAGAGTGCTTTCAACAAGTTAAATTTACCTGCTATTACCATGAATATCTTGATACCTTGAGAAGCGGGATGAAAACTACTTCTTTTTCTAAATATTTGCTTTCTTTTCATACACATAGTTATACAATATAATCACACAACACAGTGATATTAGTTTTGGTGTCCCAGGTGCATGTCCCTGAGGTTGGAGTGAGAATGGATGCGATTTCTCTAACCTTGTTTGGGTGACATGATGGACCCAGGGACACATTATGTTAAATATTTACTTTGGGAGTTTTTAAATCATTTAAAATTATAACATATCATTTTGAAGTTGTTTGTGTAGTTATGACATTGCATTTTGAGATTATTTTGAGTCTTTTCTTTTGTCACTGTGAAGTTTGAAATATGAAAGGAGCCCCTATAATCACTGTAAAAGAAGACAAATTTTGTCTTGGTTTGATTTTCTAATGGTGTAGATTGCCAGTATATTATTGTGGTTGATTTTACATTATACTATTTATTAATACTTATTTAATAAGGCATAGATGCAAATTCTATAGGAATTTATTACTGAAAATATAGTTTGTGAATAACAATGAAAGGAAATCATTTGATGAAAGGTAAAGAGATAGACAGATCAATTTATGAATTAATATTCACTTTTTCTTTTAAAAGCACATTTGATTTAATTTTCTTCTGACTTTTGTGGAATTTTTTTTCTCTAAAGGCTATTTTAACAGATGGAGACAGTGAAACATTATTTTATATATGTAGAAACTGGTGATCTGGGGACATTCATGTTTGGAAAGAAAGATGACTATAACAGCCTAGAATTCTAAATCATGAGGATGAAATCCTGTAGAGGGGTTACTGGGCCAACCTCAGTTAATCTGTGATAATATTTCATCACTATCTTAGGTGATCCTAAGAAAAAGCTCATATGCTCAGTGTGCAATAGAAGGTGCACTTCATTGTCAAGCCTGCAGGAGCACAGGAAGGTGAGTGAGAGCCTATTATTCATAAGGCCTTCAGTTATGATCTGCCATATGCTCTTGGTTGACAGCTGTGGAGACTAGCAGGGACAGTCTGCTTTGTTGGTCCTTACTTTCTGCCTTGTTTGAGACAGACTGTGGTTCCCTGCTGCATACACCATATTATCTGGCTCCTGAGTTTCTGAGGGACCTCCTTTCTCTGCCTTTTGTAACATCATAGGAACACTGGCATTGCAGACATGCTTTTTTATGTAGGTTCTGGGGACTTGAACTTATAACTTCATGTTTGCAGAGAGTGCTTTACCCACTGAGTCTCTCAAGGTCCTGTAGGTCCCTTTTTTCTCTATTATTAATGCTATGACTTGGGTAATAGAGTCTGAAGCAAAAATATTAATTATGTTGGAGCGTGTATTTCTAAACACCCCTGTTTGAAAGTCTATGATTCATTTCCTGGGTCTATTTAATCTTGGATGATGTTGTTGAAGATATTTTAACAGAGTATTTTAGCAAACTTAGTCATGGAGCCCATTTCTGAATAATTCCTTATTTTCCATGTTTTTTAAATAATAGAGACTTTCTCTATAATAAAATAACTTGGTAGAAAAAGGTATATCTGTTGATAGAATACAGAAGGAACCTGTGTGCCTTCTAATTATGAACGTTTGCATAATTTTAATAAATTGTTAGCCCAAGTAGACTTCACCTTCTCTATTCTAGAGCAGTTACTCAAAGCCCTTCTGTAGACAAGGAATATTTTAATAAGTCCAAAAATGTTAATTATTTTAGTTGGCTAGCTCTAATGTCTAATAGCGTATAGTTGCAGTATTTCCCCTTGACAGTAGATGGTGCTTTATGACAATACTAAATTACAGCATAGTACAGTCTTTTATATCACAGTATACTATCCCGTATTGTAATAAAGTATACTATGATTTTAAAGTGATTTATTTAGAAATTCATCTAGTAAATAATCACCCTGAAAATCGGCATGGAAAAACTGGAAATTTGACAAACAGGTTTTCTTGGGTATAATTAGACAGTACTGCCTATCATTTGTCTGTTAAGTTTTATTAGAAGTTTTGAAGATATACCTGGCCTTAATTAGGGCAGTGTGGGCCCAGCCCTAGTAATTTGTCCACATGTTTTCATTTTTGCATCAGTTCTGTAGAATTCATTAGGTTTTTGTTTGTTTGTTCATTTGTTTTTGTTTTTTGAGACAAGATTTCTCCGTAGCTTTGGAGTCTGTCCTGGTACTTGCTCTGTAGGTGAGGCTGGCCTCAAAATCACAAAGATTCCCCCTGCCTCTGCCTCCCGAGTGCTGGGATTAAAGGTTAATTTTTAATAATTGGTTATCTGTCGATGTAATCTTTTTCAGATTCATGAGATATTTGATTGTCAAGAATGTATGAAAAAGTTTATTTCTGCTAATCAGCTGAAGCGTCACATGATCACTCACTCAGGTGAACTATCTACTTTATTTTCTTAATTTTCTCAAGACAGGGCTTCTCAGTGTAGCTCTGGCTTTCCTGGCATTTGCTCTGTATATCAGGTTGGCTTCAAACCCAGAACTCAAGAGATCTGCTTGCCTCTGCTTCCCAAGTGCTTGTCTGAAAGGCCTGACCACCACCAATGAACTCATTGCAAACACTGAACTTATTGCAAAATAATTACTTCATCATGTTCAAGAAACTGAAAAGGGGCAATCAGAAGATCTGGCTATGAATTCTAGCTTAGTCATATGATTTTCAAGTTCTTAATTGTCTAGTTAGGAAGCAAAGCTTGTTTGGCTGCAGGATATGAAAGGGTTTCAAAAATCACTGTTTAGGTCAGGCGGTGGTGGCGCATGCCTTTATCCCAGCACTCAGGAGGCAGAGGCAGGGGTATCTCTGTGAGTTCGAGACCAGCCTGGTCTACAAGAGCTAGTTCCAGGAAAGCCTCCAAAAAAAAAAAAAAAAAAAAAAAAAAAAAAAAAAAAAAAATCACTGTTTAATCTAGGACCTGGACCTTGGTTTCTTTCTTTCTTTCTTTTTTCTTTCTTTCTTTCTTTCTTTTTTTTTTTTTTTTAATCTGTGACATGATATACTGGCACTTATCAAAAGGACTTGGAAGGTTAATTAAGGTCATTTACATAATATACTACTATAGTACCTGGCATTTTGTGGAGATTCAACAATTATTGATTTATGATGTTTCTAGATACTTCTACATTCTAGGCATGATACTCATTAAATAGAGAAATAAATAAATATTTTGAGAAAAAATTCTTAACATGTATGTTCACTTAAACAGTTTTGAGAATTAGATTTTTTTAACCTATGAACACATTAAAATATATTGAAAAGAATTTTGCCTTATGGCATCCTTTTAGAGAATTTAGGAAGGTTATAGTTTGAGGACAATGAAATACATGCTTTAGAACATCCTTGTTGTTTGGAAGAAGAGTAAGTGTTAGTGAGTTAAAGTCAATGATGGAGAACTATTGGCTTTCAGGTGTGCTTTGTGTGATTTGTACGGGATGGTTTGCTTGGTAGTTAGCACTATATACCTAGTGCATGAACATGAATGTTAAAACCTGCGAAATGTGTGGCTTCTTCTGAAGATGGGAAGCTCTGCCACCTAGGGCCTGCCTGGTATTGTGTCATTACTTCTATCCCTGACAGATCTCTCAGCATTTCTGACTTATTTGAAACACACACTTTTATTTTTTCATGTAGAAATAGAATTTGTGCTTTGAACTTAAACTTTTATTTCAAAGGTTTAACTTTCAAAATATGTCTATAGAAGAATAAGCATTTTCATTTATGAATACTCACATTTCTAACATAGATGAACTACATGAAAGACATTTTTTTGTGCGTGTCTGACCATGCCTTAGTTTGTTTATACATAAGAAACAATTGCAAGACACCATGCTTCCCCTTGACCCTTGACCTTCAGGATATTGTCTCCACTCATTTTTCACAGAAAAGCGACCTTATAACTGTGAGATCTGTAACAAATCATTCAAGAGGCTTGATCAAGTGGGTGCCCACAAAGTAATCCACAGTGAAGATAAACCCTATCAATGCAAGCTTTGCGGAAAGGGATTTGCTCACAGAAACGTTTACAAGAACCACAAGAAGGTAAAGACCTTACTAAATTCTGGTATTTACTGATTAGCTGATAGGATTTCAGTTGGTCTCTTAACCAAATTTTGGCATGGTTGGGGCATGCGACATGAAGTGAATGGGATGGTTAGTGGTGGTCCTGCTTCTCCTTTGTCAACACTCACTTAGACCACTGACCTCTTTGGCTTCTCTTGTCTCCATGCTCTGACAATTGTTCTCTGAAGCAAAGCTTCCTTGTGTGACCGAGTCTGTTAAATAACTCTCAGCTGCTAATTAGTTCCAAGGACCCCAATGTTGTAGCAGTTGCTATGTCTATTCTCCCCCGCCTTTTTCTGTGTTTTGATGCTCCGTTCATATCCCCTTTACTCTGGGTTTCTTGTAATGCACTTTTCTGGGTCTGTCTGTATCTCTGAATGTGTTTTAGATTTTGTTGGCTTCCTACATACATCAGTACCTGAGACAATTTACTTATTCAGCAGGAACACTTATTGGGCTTGGTTCAAAGGCTTGTTTCCATGGTTGTCTGGATCTGTTGTTTTTATACTCAAGGTAAAGCAGAGAGAGCATTTATGGTGGGGAGTACACTGAGGAAGAAGATGAAGCTTCTCTCACTGTGGCCCAAAGCTGTGGGGTGATGGTTGGGAGGCTGGGCTCCAGTGCCTACTTACAGGGCATTCTTCCAAGGGATGTGACATCGTCCACTAACATGTACCCTCTAAAGTGTCCACTTCCTTCCAAAAGCACTTTCAGTGAGGTGCCACACCTTCAACATGTGAGTGCTAGAGAGACAGCTAAGTTCCTAACCATACCCATCCCACCCTGCACTTGAGGGCATTGTAGGCTTTGGATGGCTTCTTTGTGCTCTCTCTCTTTCTGGAAGATGCCCACTGCATCCAGGACTTTGTGCTGTCAATGCTAAGCTGACAAACTCCAGGTAGTTTACTTTTTTAAAACATTTTGGCAGTGCATTGATCAGGCCACCTTATCCCAACCAAGAATGACTTTTGTATTCTCCCCTTTTGTAATTTCTTTTTTCTGCATATGACAAAAATGTCTAATTATCCAACAGTCTTTTTCCAATCTTGTAGAAACCAGGTCACAAGTGTTTTCCCTGTCTATTGTTTCATTATGTTTGCAACCATCCACCTTCTCTAGTTTCGTACAGTGCTAAGGATCAAGCTCATGTTTGGCAAGTACTCTACCACTGAGCTATATATACATCCCTCATGCCCATGAGGGACTTTCTTTGGCCTGATAGTTCTCTTTCTTCTTGATCACTTTTATACTCATCTAAATAGGCTTTTGATAACCCTTTCACTACACCTTGTCCTACGAGGTAAACCATCCAAAAGTGTAACTGTTATATAACTCTTCTACTCTACAGTGATGTGACTGTAGAGTAGAAATACTACCCACATTATAATGCACATACATCTTCCACTGTTCAAAGTTCTCTGGGCTATCAACTCAATCTACTTCTCAAGCTTATCTTCAGTGCTTTGCATTAAAATTAAGCACACCTAAAACTACTTGATAGTTGCTATCTCATATTCTTATTAAAAGGCTTTTGTCAGGGCTGCAGCAATGGCGTAGCAGTTAAGAGCACTGGCTGCTTTTCCAGATGGCATGGTTTCAGGTACCAGAACCTACATGGCAATTCAGAAGCATTTATAATTGAAGTTTCAGGGGATTAGTTGCCTTCTGCCGCCCTCCTCAGACACTAGATATACATGGTTCATAGGTATACACACAGGCAAATCACTGATTTACATATAATAATAACACAAAATTCAAAAATTACTTATGTGTGTGTGTGTGTGTGTGTGTGTGTGGTGTGAGTGTTAGGGGGTATATGTATGTGGTATGTAATATGGGGGATATGTATATGTGATGTGTGTGCCTGTATATGTGTATGCATGTGTGCATGTATGGTGTGTGTGTGTGTGTGTGTGTGTGTGTGTGTGTGTGTCTGTGTATGTCTGTGTGTGTCTGTGTGTGTGTATGCATGTGTATGCACATGTATATGAGTGTGACCCATAGTGCATGTGTACAGGTCAGAGGTCTCTCTTTCCACTGCGTGTTCCTGGGTTCCAGTTCAGGTTGTCAGGCTTATGCAGCAAGGGCTTTTCGCTGCTCAGACACCCTGACAGGAGATACTTGCTTTTCTTCTACATGCTCTTTAATGTCTTTGTCTTCAGGTTTTAAACTCTTTCGTTCTGCTCTGGAGTTTTGTTTACATTTCCATGCTTCACGTTTGTTTTAGCTCTTCCTTTAGAGCATGTTATCTTTAATCCTTCCATGTTTATTCTGTACATAATTCGTGTCCACATTCAGAAAATGTGTCTGAACATTCAGTATCATAGAAATTTATGTAAAAACATATGTTATATCAGAATTGCTTGTTTATTGATTTTAGGGGAAACATTTTTCTGTATTTTCAAAGTGAATTATTTTTTATGATATTTAGAAGGTATTGAAGTGACTTCATTATTTATGGTGAGTTTCAAGAAACAGCTATCTCTTGTGAAATCATTAAAAATGATCCTGATTTTAGTGTTTGCCAAGAAGAAAAAGAAATGGTAGATATATCAAAAACTGAGCAGGGCCGATTGGTAGTATTTCAAATTATCTCTGCCTGATTTCTTGCTCTGGACCTTCAATTTAACTCAAGGACTGCATCCAGGGCAGGGTTGTAGTCATTGTTGTTCCTTTGGAATTACATGACTGTAAAAAGTATCTGGCGAGTTTCCTGTTGGGTCCCTGGAACCCTCTTAATCCTTTCTTTGATGAAACTGATCTGCCCACATTTATGAGTTTTTCACAGTTTGGCTTATGTTATATGCCATATGGGAATTTGGCAGAGGATCTTTGCACTATCCCTCATACTTTTCAGCCATAAATCATATGAAAGTAATAATGACGTCTTAGGGAGGACAGAAACCGTGGTGGTTGTGATTTTCCAAAGTGGAAAACATTCTCAATCCTACTGTCCCCAACATATGTGTTCCTGTGTTGTGATCCTACTATGTCTTGGTGTGGTTATGCGAAAATGTCTAAAATATCCAAGAATCTTATGAAAAAACTAAGTCAACCTGTTGTTGCATAATTATTCAGTAATGGGCATGCCAAGATAATCAGAAAAAGAAAATCATTAAGAGTTAGTCTGATCTCCACCATGAAGCATGCCCAAATGTTCTTTTAAGTAAATAAAATATTCCTTTGTTTTTTGGTATGGATTTCATCATAGCCATTTATTTCTCTCATTTTGGATGGATTGTGGTGCTGTGTGGTGGCATTGTTAACAGTTTCATCATCAGTTCTGTAGGTTCAGTCAATATTAGTCTTTTGTTTTTATTTTTATTTTTCATTTCCTCATTCTCCCTACACTCATTTTATCTGCTTCAGATTTGTATTATAAGGTCTGGCTAAAATAAGAATCATCTATCCAGATCCAGTTAGATCTGCGTTATTGGAATTATAATTGGTCAGATATTTCAGAACTGCAGGAGACAAGAACTGTGAATTAATCATCTTTCTCCATTTGTTTCCTGTCAAACTTACTGCAGAGAAAAACTTTAAAGAAAGTGTATGGTGATCCCCTCCTCCTGTAAGATGGATGTCTAAATGGAGCAAGCTGTCTTATTTACTCAAGCTAGCATATCTGCTTGGTGATGGAAGTGAGTCCATGGGAGCTTTTAAAGCCCCAAGGAAGTCTTTGGAAGCTCCTTGGCATCAGATATGTGCCTAGTCACTAAAGTTTGTTTGTGTAAGTTGTAGAAGTATATGTAGGAATCTGGTCACAACATCTGGAAAATTCCATTGGGCTCTTATATTCATGTTTCATTCATTTGTAGTCAAACTCTGAGCAGTGGACACTTTCTTAGCTTTCAGTCCTATTTACAGGGTCATGAATAGGCATTGTAAGGTAGAATTGAAAGCTTAACTTTAAGATTTAATGAAATAAAGACTTGTGCACAAAATGTATTCATTTATCTTACTGTTTATTACATATTTATTTACTTACCTGTGTTGGAGTGTGTATGCCATGTCAGGGGACAGCTTTCTGGGGTTGGTCTTTTCCTTCTACCCTTGGCATCTCCTGCCTTTACCTGCTGAGCCTTCTTCATGGTCCCTAAATGATTTTGCTCTAAGAAGTATGTCTTGGGTCGTGGTCCTACCATTTTAAAGACACTGTTGTTGAAGCGTTGATGTGGTAAATTTTTGTTAGACCTCAAAGAAAAATGTAAGTTTATCTTTAACATCATAAATTCATTTACAAAACCATAACAAAAGGGGTAAATTTAGCACAAGAAAAAATTCTGAAACTGTGTTCAGAAGTTATTAAGGTGGGGACCGAAAGAGAGCCACTCAGTAAATAGCCCCAGCTTCCCTGTCTTGTCTTTTTAGCCTGGTAGCTTTTATTCAGGCCTACTTGGGCTAATCCTGTTCCTTCATCTGTATAAAATGACCTCTTTCATTCCTGGGATGGCAGTGACTGCATTATGATGCTTACATTTATGACTGCCAAGAAGGAAAGGGATTGAAATAATAGTGTCTAGCAAGTGCTGATCATTATCTGGGGCTCCTTTATCCCTGAAAACTCCTGTCCTATTAGCTTTCTTGCTACTCTTCTTAAGTGGGCGAAGACACACAGTGTGCAGCATGCTTTTCAGCTAACCATTTTCAAGATGTAAGCACATTTGACAAAATTTGTACATGTTGGCAATGTACATTATTATCTTTTAATTACGTAAACACTGTGAAATGATTACCAGAGTCAAGTTAGTCAACATGTCTGTCATATGACATCATATACCCATTGTCTGACATGGTTTTCTGTTTCTATTTGATGTAGTAAGAACATGTAACATCTATTCTTGTGATTTTACATATTCTCACTACAGAAACACAGCAAAATATATGTGAGATGATAGTATGCTAAGTAACCACTATATATATGTATGCATGTCATAATGTCATGTTGTGCTACACACAAAGGTAATTTTTATCATAGAAAAGTAAAAGTTAACAATGTATTCTTTTAGCAATTACAAGTATATAGTGCAGTATTACAGTCAGCTTATTATACATTTCCAAAATTTATTCATTGTAACTCGAACTATTTATCTTTTTACCATCATCATCATCCCATTTTCCTTCCCTCTATTACCCTTTCTTCCAGCCACACTCCTGTCAACCATCATTTACTCTCTGCTTTATGAGTTTGACATTTTTTAGAGTCTACACATTTTCTTGCCATGCTTATTTTACTTAACATAATGACCTAATCTTTCTGAACCTTTCCTTACTCTGTTGAATATTTGAATCACAGCACACTTGGGAGTCAGTGAAATCTTTCTATTCTTGGACCTTAGTCGAGAAACTCCTTCATGTCTTTGTTCACTCATGTGATTGAGCATCTGCCTTAACCTTTGCACAACTGCAAGAGAGAAATACTGGAAAAATTAGAAGCACATTATTTCTTTTGTAATCAAATTTAAAACTTTCCTTGCTTCTTTTTCTTTTTTGAGTAGGCATCTCATGAGAATGAAACCTGAGATTGTCTGTGAATGCATGGTGGTCAGTTATAAAGCATGGATTGTATTTACTCTCAGCTCACCCCCCCCAACCAAAGATATCAACAACCACACACACACAAATATTCACCAAAATCCCCTTCTTTCCCCATGTGATATCCTTCCTGATTCTAATCAACAAATTATTATACATAGTTCTTTTTTCTAAAAAAAATTGTTAAGTATTACCATATCAACCACTATATTAGTGTATGTGAAGGCCTGCAACCCTAATAACCCGTAATGATTTGTTGATAGAGTTAAACACAATCTTCACATAAAACCTTTAACATGCTTTTGGTCCCAGTTTGTAAGGAGTTTGAATATAGAAAATCAGAGATAAGAAACTTCAGTGGCATAGCTTGGGTATGCAATGCTCTCATGTAGGAGTTATCTCCACTGTTTGCTCTTTTCTGTGTAGAGTGAGCTACCTGTTATTTTAATGAGCTTAAATGGAATTTGTCACCATAGCTCTAGTTTTAGTATCTTTTTCTGAAGAGGAGGGGGTCTTTTAAAGAAGCCAGTTGTCAATCTGGTTTATATATTTAGCCCACAGTACTTGTAAATATCTAGACAAAGCATACTGGTGTAGCCCAAGGTTTATTATGTAGCTCACTGGGTTAGCATGCCCTTATGAGAGGCTTGAGTCTGTATAGCTGACTTCTTTGCTCTCTTCTTTATTTTTCTACATTCATTCTATATTTAATTAGTTTTAATTTTCTTGTTTTTATTTCTTCTTTGAGAATTTCATATAATGTAGTTTGATCATATTCATCTCCCTTACCCAGATCCTCCAGAATCCTCCTCATTCTTCTGTAACCCACCTTTATGTATGCTTATCTCTCAATCATCCAGTAAATTTATGCTACCACATTTTCTTGGATGTGTGGCCTTCCACTGAAATTCAGTTGACTTACCCAGGGTCACACTTTTTAAAAAAAAGCAGACCATCCCTCTCCCACTAGCTATCAACTGCCAATAACTCCCTAGCTAGGAGTGGGACCTCATGCCCCCCTCCCCTCTCCATGCTGTGATTTGTCTGGCTTGAACGTGTGTATGTCTTGTACAAGCTGCCATAACTGCTGCCAGTTCACATGTGTCCCTGCGCTGCTATATTTGGGAAACAGTTTCCTCATGGTCATCCACTGCCTCTGGCTCTTAGAGTCTTTCCACTGCTTCTGTAGTGGTCCCAGAGCCTTGGGAGGAAAGGGTAGGACCTACATTGAGTTAGTTTCTTGTACAGTATGTGCCCCAAAGGTAAAATATGATCAGCAATAAATACTATTATTATGGGTCAATATTGACTATTGAAAGTCAAAGTTATCCATTTTAGCTCTGAATGGCCTTGATGAAAATTTTATTCTGGCACTGTGAAATTAACATTTGATTTATGTGGCTAGAATTATACAAATTTGGTGTTTTACTCTATATTCCTCCTGAGTAATTTTTGATAATTTTAATGGATGTTATGGATAGCATAACACATTTCTTATGTCTTTTCTACATCTCTAACCAGAATTGGACTTGGTCCATAAAAACTTAAGTATTTAAATGCTAATTCATGCTATTTATTCATGGCAACTTTATCTAGTACATTAGTAGATGTTGATGACATCAGTGCCTTGGCAGTTGGAAAAAGAGTATTATGTAGCTCAAAGATCAATTACTAAATCAGTGAAAATTTTAATGATTAAATATCTTTTAAGAAGCTTAATTTCATCTGATACTTGTAAAACATATCATGAACACAAATTTTCTATCTACAAGTGAACATTGTACATACTCATTTCTTACATGACTCAGGATCTTCCTGTCAAGTGAGCACATGGATTCACTGCTAATGTATATAATTTGTAACATTCCAACCCACATATCATGTTAGGATCTTACAAATTGATATTTAAATTTCTATACCTTGTTCTCCATCATACTTAGAAACCTTTTCCTACTCAATTATTATTTTTAAATTACTAACATTTTCTTCTATGGCATTTAAAGTTTTATTCTTCAATTGAAAAATAGGTGGACTCAGATGTGATGGTGTATATCTGCAGTATTAGCATTTGTGAGGCAAAGCCCTGAGGATTGACAGGAAATCAAGGCCAGCCTGAGCTACATAGCAAGACTATCTCAGAAAGACAATATATGAATAAATAAACGCTAAGTCCATATAGCCTCTCTCCTACTGTAGGAATTGAAGGTCCAACTTTCATTGTATCTGAACCCTTTAGTAACTATTCCAAGCTTCTGTCACCAGTTTAGAATGTCATGTTCACAATGCCATTCGTATTGTGTAATGGAAGAAATGTTCTCCTACTCTTTTTTTTTTTCAATCTAGAATTTCTGTGTCCAAATAACACATGTAGGCATCTTAAGTTCATTCTGACTTTTGATATTTGTTTCCTCTACCCTTTATGTTTTTGACAATGGAAACAGTCATGATAATGCCTATGTGCATTGTTCTCCATGATGCTTTTTGGACTTGAATATTGACATCAAATTGTGAAAGTCTGTGTCAATATGGTGTGAACAAAGTGACTTCCTTCAGTTGTCCTATGATTTTTTGTGCTAATACCACAAAATCTATCAGATTTCTAGCTTATTTTGTTGTAATGAAAGGATATTGTTGGAATTTTTGAGGGTTTTAAAAATGTATTTGTAAGCCTTATTTAATTTTACTATCTGGGGCTGGAGAGATGTCTTAGAAGTTAAAAGCACTTGCTGTTTCTGTAGAGAAGACCTGGGTTCATTTTCAGCACCCACATGGCAATTTATAACCATCTGTAACTCCAGTTCTAAGAGATTTAATGCCCTATGCTTGCTTCTGCAGGCACCGGGTGTACAGGTAGGTGGTGCACATACAGGCTAAACATATATACACATAAAATAAAAGATTAAAATATAAATAAATAAACCTTGTTATCCACACTATAGAATAAGATTTTATTCAGTTTGTGCCAAATTGGTTTAAACTGTTGGATTTCAATGCATGTTTGCTGAGTACCATAGATCTTTATAGCATGCACATCTTTGGCAAGTCTGCACTTATTTTTTTTTATTTTAAAATGGTGACATTAGTACTAATTTAATCAGGAACTTAGCTCTTGGAATTCATTAATTCCTGTACAGTATTTATCATGACATTTGATATAAATCAAGTATTTAATGAATGCTTTTTCAGGTTAACCATATGTGCCCATACTTGTAACTTAGATACAAAGCAGCCCAGTGAGGTTTTAAGGTAAAGGTGGAGACCATGGGTCTGTGAACTGTTCTCTTAACTCTATGGAAAATGAGCAAGCTCCATAGGGTTAACTGTACACTTGACAAACTATACACCATGTTGGTCTACAAAGAAGATTTTACAAAATCTCCATGTGTGTTTAGATTAGCAATTCAAGATAGTAATGACAATTTCCTTTGCTATTTATCAAATGTCTAATGAATTTGAGAGTTTGATAGAACAAGTATTTTCTTCCTGTGAAATATGTGGGTATGCTTTTCCTCCTCCTCCATATCAGGAGTTATGACAAGAAACATGATGCTGTCTGCTTTCTGTAATGAAGAGCTCAGTCTCCTTTTTCAAACTGTCTTCCTTTTGCAGACCCACTCTGAGGAGAGGCCATTTCAATGTGATGAATGTAAAGCCTTGTTCCGTACCCCATTTTCTCTGCAAAGACACCTGTTAATCCACAACAGTAAGTCCCAATCTGGGCAGCTAAGGACAGATAGGGTTAACTCCCACTGTGTTCTTAGACCCTTTCAGAATGTAGACAGCACAGAAATGCACTGTGAATTGTTAGATAATATGTTTAAAGCATAAAGAAGATGGATTGCCATTAACTATTTTATGAGATATTTTATTTTACATCTTCCCTTCCCAGTATTTATACTTTGTACGTAAAAAGATACCCCACACTTAGTACGCTTTGAACATTGTTTTGAAACACAGACTTTTATTCCCTTTTAACTATGATGATTAAGGAAACTTGTCTACCTCTGTAAAAGTGGGAGTTGTGTCACAGGTCAGGGTTTTATTAGCTCACAGGCTTAAAGTCAGAATGGGTCAGAGTACACATCTAATCCAACATCTGTTTAAGGAGAAATTGAGAATACTGAGTCTGCCAGGAGCCCAGTCATTTAAGTAGGGGATCCTAGACACTTCATCCACGTTTCTATAGGCAGACACCTTTCCTACTTTGTGTAAAACGTCTGATTTGTGTACTTATTTTGAGAGGTAAATTTTTTATTATGTTCAATGTAGACACACATCTTTTAAAAATGTTATTTGTGAAGTTCCTACTGCTGCTTCAGTATTAAATTCCAAATACAAGGCATTGTGACAATCAGTTGTACAAAGTGTTAGAAGGAAGTTTCTCTGCTCAAATTAGGGTCTAATATGAAAAATAATAAAGATCTTAGAATTTTGTACATGTTGGTGATGATCATGAGGAAGGAAGCTGCTTCCTGTTGGAAAAGACACCCTGTGTTTCCAGTCCAGGTCAGTCACTATATAGCTAGCTCTGCAGAGTGCTTAGCCTAACTGTACATTTACTCATAAAGAATAACTTCGTCATTAAAGAAAGAAGTTTGTTGCACAGCAGCAGAAATCATTATGTTAGATAGCTTAAGGGATGGATGGATTTTAGAATAGGCACTTAGACAATGAACTCCATTCATCCTATTAAGACATAGCTGAATTTGGCTTGATGCTAAGGCATTTTTATGGGAAAAATCAAATTTTGTTTCACATGGCAGGAATGAATTTGTACCATCAGTAATCAGATACTTTTCATGTCACCCTCTTGGTTCTCAGCAACTTCAGAGGAAGGACTGAAGTGGCTCGTGAGACTGTTCTGTGTGCTCTGTGGCTGAATGGTGATGAGCAACACACGAAGAGGCTTTCTGAAGCTGCACTGTGGTGTCTGGCCAGAAAAGGCAACCTCTAGAATTTAGGGATTAAGTAAGCAATGTAAGGTGCAGATAGCCATCAGTGAAGACCAGTGAGTTAAAACAGCAGGAAAACCAGACTGGCTAAAGCAGAAAGAAAAAGTACTTGGTCTTGTTTCACACAGTGTTAACGGTACAGCTAGTTTCACTTTAAGACATAAAACGTGTTATTACAAACACACATCTTTGCCATAGACTAAAATATCAACCATTTGTCTACTTAATTGGGTTATTACTGCTCTGTTTTCTACACTGAAAATCAAAAAGACATGTCTCTGGCTGGCTTTTAAGTAAGAAGGTTAGGGGATATTCTGACCGAATTAAGACAGAGAGTCTGATAGAAGTAGCACCTCAGAATTGGGAAATTCTGTAATTTTAAGGCAAAGAAATCTGAAATCCTGTGTGTGTGGCTTGACTGTTGACTTGTCTTCTAAGGTGAAAGGACGTTCAAGTGTCATCACTGTGATGCCACATTTAAAAGGAAGGACACGTTAAATGTTCATGTTCAAGTGGTCCATGAAAGACACAAGAAGTACCGATGTGAGCTCTGCAATAAGGCCTTTGTTACACCATCAGTGCTCAGAAGTCATAAGAAAGTAAGTGGGAACTTCATCAAGGCAGAGTGCATTGTAAGGTTAAGGGTTATGGGCATATATATTGACTATCTTGTGACAGTTTTATATCAACTTATGACATGCTCATTGGCAATGACAATTATATGATTATGTTAACTATCCAAGAAATACCTGTTTTCTCTATTTTTCAGAATAGTCATTTTCCCATTAAATGGAACCTCCAAGTTATTTGTATATTTTGTGTAATCTTTAGCCTTACTGACAGGTAGGCTGAGAAAATATTCAGCAAGACTCTCCATTTTTTAACTATGTTCACTTAATACAGAAGGTTTATTCTAAAAATATGAATAGCACCTCAGGTAGATTGTTGTGGTTGTTTGTTAGTTTTGGTTTTTTGAGGCAGGGTTTTTCTGTGTTGCTCTTGGTGTCCTGGAATTCACTATTCAGCCAGACTGGCCTCAGACTCAGAAAGATTCGCCTACCTCTGCCTCCAGAGCGCTGGGATTTAAAGGCATGCAGCACCACCACCTGGATAGGTAGTTTTTATAGAACTAATTCAAGTGTTTGCGGTTTCCTGTTATACAACAGGTGTTTGATAGATACTAATTCAGTTCAGATGAGATAGTTTCTTTTGTGATTTCAAGATTATCTTTTTGTATTATGCTAATTAGATCAATATATCAAGCAACTTGAGTTTACTTTTATACTTCATAAAAATATATAACATTATAATAAATGCATTTTAAATCTCTTTAAAATGACAAGGCTATTTTATGACAAACTCAACTAAATTTCCAAAGTTGGTGGTGCTAGAAAGTGGTAGATAAAACCTGTTCACCTCCATATGGACAGGAAGCAGGAAGGGAGAATATAGGAAGAACCAGGGCAAGATATATTTCTAAGGATGCCCCCGCTAATGACAAACTTCAGCCTGTCCCCACCTCCTCCCTTTCCCCTACTTACTAATAAGGCCATCAGATTTGAATCCATCCCTAGATTTGTTCAGAGGCTTCATGATCTGATGGTCTGCAGAATTGCTTGCCATTTCACATTACCATTGAGGTCTTAATCACTAATCTCTCGATAATTCTTAAAACAACTAACTTGATGGTCATAGTTAGCTATTTGCAGACACTGCCTGTCAGGCTACTGTCAGAAAATATTCTCAAAGCAATATTATAATGACCACTTGGGTAGAGATCTGAAGAAATTGCTTCCTCCTGATCCCAGCAGCTGTCTATAGCCACCAACATTTTTATTGTTCTAAGTTTGAAAAGCCCTAATACTTCACAGATTGCTCCTGACTCCTCATTCACTAAAATGGTAGACTATTTTCTTTTTGTTTGTTGGTAGACAAACTAGTCTTCTGTTGAATACATGAGGCTTTAACATACTCTATCCTTCCTTCTAAAGCAGAGTCAGAAGTTTTGTTTGGTACTTTTCATTTGTTTGTTTATTTATTTGGTAGTGATTGTACCCAGAGTCTCCTGCCTGGTAGGCAAGTATCCTAGCACTGAGTTGTATTCCCAGCCCTAGACACTGGCTTCTTTAAACTGTGATTTACAGGTACTTCTCTTTTTCTAGTATGATTATTTGTGCCTAGATAGTAAGTATGTGGAGACCAGAAATTCTCTTTCCTCTTGACTGCTCAGTTATCACCTGCTGATTTTCTAGGCCAAACTGGATGTGTAATGCTTTCTGTTTTGTGGGAAAATCTGTCTAGACAAGCCTAACATAGGTTATAGATGACTTTCTAGAGATTAACTCTGCCCTTCAGAGTGAAATATGCCCAAAGAATGTGGTAAAAGATTCTAAAGAAATGTTCCTTGGCAACCGTCAAGGGTAACTCTGGCCCGGTTTTGATTATCTGGTTTTGCTCCAAACACTGGTTTTATATAACTTAATCACGTTTAGTTAGACAAGGATTCAATAAAGGCTTAGGCAGTAAACTGCAGAATTATTTTCAAATTAATGCTAATGCATGCTTCTAAGGGATCTTTGAACCCATGGGATTATCCATGATAAATTGTTTAAAGTCGCATTGTGACATTAAATCATTTTAATGAAACATAATCCTGAAAAATACAGATTTACTATCGTCAGAGGTACTTAATCATCTTTACCAAAGTCTTTGTATTTATCATCAACCATTTTTATTCTTGTTTAGACACACACAGGAGAAAAGGAGAAAGTCTGCCCATATTGTGGCCAGAAATTTGCCAGCAGTGGGACCCTGAGAGTTCACATCCGGAGCCACACAGGTATGGAGAGTGACCTGGGGCTGGATAAACTGTGAGTGAGTGTCAGGACAGAGAGCATGCCTGTCCAAGGAGCTCCCAAACCCTGTTAGCCTTCTTCAGAGGACCATCCAAACAGTTTGTCCTGGAGAAGAGTTTCAGTAGTAGAATGTTCCCCAAAATGGAATAAAATACTGGTGTGAACACTTTGGTTGAGCTTTGAGTGTGACATTCAGGGTTCTGTTGGGTAGGGCTGGTGTTAGCAGCCTTACTTTGCACAGCACACAGAAGGGCTCCTCTTCATCCATCCTGTAACTCACACCAACTGGTGCCTTTTGGAGTTTAAAAAGTGCCTGCCATTCTAACTGAATTCTGTAGAGTAGTATTTCATGTGGTATGAGGGGACTGTGATGGGAGCTGATTCTTAAGGGTCCCAGACTCTTTCCTTTTGTTTTGCTTCTGCAATTTCTCCCGAGAAACAGAAGTTGACCACCTATGGTGAATAGCTAAATATTCTTGAAAGGAACTTGACTACAGTTTATCTACTGGGTAGACTAAATGATTTTCCTAGTCTTTCTGCTTCCAAATGATTTTTTACTTGTGTAAATTGTCTTCCAGGTAAGCAGAATGAAATTCATTGAGTTATGTAGCTGAAACTTTTTACTCAATGGCCATAATATATGACTTTTAAAAAAGTATTTCCCACACCCAGGATGGTGACTAGAGTAGAAACATTTTTTTGTGAATGAATAATTATTAGTTTAAGTAGATGAAAGAATTGACACTGTGGCATATATATGAAGGAAGGGACATTTGAGCATAATTTAAAAATTTGTGGACAAAGCTAAATGGCATGTCTTTAACTTGGTACTTTAGAATAGACAGTCACATACTTGTAAATGACACATAATGAGTGACAAGCCAAGTACTGTGTGGGAAGACTGTGGATACCAGGTTCTTTATAGAAGAATGTCTCAGAAGTTATCTAGGGAAATCAAGGCTTTTAGGACAAGGTTCAAGGGTGTCAAAGACATAAAGGTGGCCCAAAGAGAGGGAAGGTAAAGAAAAAGAACAGCCGTTCAGGGAGCAGGCGTCCCAACACACAGTCCCTGCAGCTGCCCTCTGACAGCAAGATATGCTGACTAGGGAACCATTCTCCAGTGGAATAGCATGGGTGGCCTTGGCCATCCTTCCTACTGTGAAACAGGGACCATGTGGAGTTGGGTCTGATAAAGGCAGCAGTGAAATCAGCTCTCTTATCTGTGCCAGTCATTCTTAGTAGACATTACTGTGCCACACTGAGAAAATTATTCCAGTTTACCTGTCTGCATGTATGTATCAGTGTGTTGTTTGTAGATGGAAGAAAAGCAGGCTATTTATAGGGCAAGAGGGTTATTTCTATATGTCAGAGAAGAAGCCTATAGTAAAACAACCTCTGAGACATGGCTGTGTGATTACATCAAGCCAGGTGCCATGTCTTTAAAAGCAAAGACTTTAAGGTGTAGGTTCCAGCACTGAAAAGATAGACCCAATCAACCAGAATGGGAATTTTCCTAATGACTCCATCCTTATGAATTGCTTGTAGGAAGAATGCATAGTAGAGAAGCATACATTGCTCATGCTTCACATTACTCTAGATGTTTTAAGTATTAATCTTTTTGAAATCCAAGAGTTTTATGTGACAAAGATAACAAATATGTCATGTTTGTACTGTTTTCTAGTAATATTTCATATTATGTATATTCTAAAGAGTATTCTAAAATCCTAATCATTTTGCATTAAATGTAACTTAATGTATATCTGACTCTGAGGCATGGTGAGCCCATGTGTATACTTGTGTGTGTGTGTATATATATATATACACACACATGCAGGGGAAGGAAAAGGAGT